CAACCAAATATGTTAGCTCTATCTCTGATATTGAGCGCTTTCTAATAAGTACCGCGCATATAATATATATATATATATATATATATATATATATATATATATATATATATATATATATATATATATATATATATATATATATATATATATATATATATATATATATATATACATATATATATATATATATATATATATATATATATATATATATATATATATATATATATAAATAAATTTAGACATATTATGTCTATTTTAGTTTTAATCCTTTCAAGGCCACGAATTAATTTCTTGTTGGCTGTAGAAAATTGATCATAGAACAATTCCAAAATTTTCTTTCAAATAATTTTTATTTTCTAAATATTTTCAATCTCATCTGAGACCATTTTCAGGGGTTGAATATCTATGGATGTGTTAAGCGTTAAAACCGTAAATTCAAAATATTTTTTACCGCTATGCAAGGGAAGTAACGCATGTAATTTTTTAAAAGATTTTTTAATTGTAGTATTTTAGTTTAGTATTTTTTTTTTATATAACACTTTGTTGCTACAAACATTTAAAACTTTTGTTGCTATGCTCGTTGTTGACTTTATATATTTTGGGCCGCAATTCTCTTCCAGAAGTTTAAATTTTTGCTTATTGTTATCTTGATGAAGCACTGATGCATTTTCGACTCATATCTGTCTAGACTCTGAATGTAAGGTTTCTTTTAATTTTTCTGGGATTGAATTATGATCATTCTAGTGAAACGTAAGCCTTTTCGTCATTGTCGTTATTGTAAAACCAACATACGTATTAACATTTTTATTAGGCCCTTGCATGGAGTATTGCTGCCATATATGGTCCGGGGTACCTTCTGTTTACCTCGGAGTTCTTGACAAGATCCAGAGATGGATATGTAATATAATTGGCCCTGATCTGGCATCTCGTCTACAATCACTCTCTCACAGATGCGCCGTCACCTCTCTCTGTCTTTTCTACAAATATTTTCATGGTAATTGCTCCGAGGAGCTGCATTCACTGGTTCCCAGACTCCATGAATTCAAGCGCCCTACGAGGCTGGCATCCCGCCCTCACCCTTTCACTGTAGAAACTTTTAAATGTAGCCGTCTCTTCTACTCCAATAGCTTCATATCTCGCACCTCTCGCCTGTGGAACACCCTTCCCAATTACTGTTTCCCTGTTTCCAACTATTCAAATGTAATGTCAATCGACATCTCTAGTTACCTTGATCTACCCACTATCCCTCTCCTCATCCTTTCTCCTATCACTCATATCTGCTCTCGCTCCAAATCTTCTGCCCCCCCCCAAAAAAAAGATGCAATCTCACTGACGACTTCATCCAACTAATTTCGTTATGTTGGTAGGACTACACATTCGGCAGAGAAGTGCTAGAAATTTTAGAATTTTTGGTAACTTTTTGGAATTATTTTACTCAGCTGCCTTCATTTAGGGTCTTTTTCTTTCCATCACTTTTGTAAGTAGGTATTCGATTGTAGATGTGATAGAATTAGTAGGCAGAATGATATTTTTTGTTCAATCGAAAAGATTCTACTACATCCAAAACAATAAAAAAAACTTAGTCAACATTAATAAAAAAAAAATAAGCTAAAACCTGAAGGAGGCGTTTACTTCATCGCCTGTAATAATTGCCACAAAAAATGCACAAGAGAAACCTCAAGAAATCTAAATAAAAAATTTAAATAATATGAACACAAAAGAGATCTTTTACAAAATAATACGTCAAATGCATTGGTTGCCTCCTTAAAGAGACTGACCACA